TGTACCAAGAGAAGGGAGATCATAAGATATCTAATGCCTGGGCAAACCAATCCTTCCGAGTTGCTGACTAGAAGCAAACTCTATCCCGGTTTACCCTACAGAATAGGGATTTTAAGGCGTACATTCTAAAAAGTATCACAATATGTAAAGAATAAAGAGATATGCATTAAGTAGATAAATAAGATAGTTATTACTAATAAACCCAAACTATTAAAGAATCTACAATATAAGATATAAATTAAAACTATTAAAACTTTAACTATTAATTCACAGTTGACAAGATCAAATACACTATAAGAACTGACCAAATTTAAATATTAAGCCCAAATCTTTTTGTTAAAAAGCTTGTACCTATCCAAATAAAATAGGTAAAAAAATAAAAGTTTATTTAAATCTAACATAATAAAATAGTTTTAGATAAAAACATTTCTAGTTACCTTCACTCTACAGTATAATTTGATATAATCCAATAAGCAGTAGACATATTTTGTCTTCTAAGTAAAGTTTGCAGGGATGCTGATTTTTACTGATTATTTTTGTATAGTAAATATAGATAGATATTCTTTTGTAGTGATTTTTTTGTTAGTGAAATATTCTCCTATGAGTATTACTTGCTATTTTCACCAAAGTTTCTTGAATAAGAATATAACTATGCATATTGATTTACTATTACCTAAATTTGATTCAAATTTAAGAGTTTGTATTAAATTTAAAATTTAAAATATCAGATTTTAGGATTTAAAACAGAAGATTTAGGGTATTGGTCTTGAAACAAGAGCAAATTTGGAATTTGAAATGATTTGGGATTTGGGATGAGATTTGAGATAATATTTGGGATTTGAGAAAGAGTTTTGGATTTGGAATTGGTTTTGGAATTTGGAATAATATTTGTGATTTGGTTAAAGTTTGAGATTTTACCAGTAGTTTAGAATTATGGTAGCCCAAATAAGATTATTTCAATTTGGAATTTGGAATTTTTTCACTTGGGATTTGGGTTTGGGTGAGATTTTAATAATTTATAGTTTGGGCAACATGTATAACTATAATATTAATACTTAATGATTATATAGTATTTTATTAAATAAATATTGATAACTCGAATCATAATATCAAATAATAAAACAAATCATCAAAAAAAAAGGGTACTCATTTTATCTCTAAATACAATTTTGCATAAATTTTTGTTTTTTTTTTATTATAGTTTGTTGTATAACTATGATAAACTTTTGAAGCTAACTATATGATTGATTGAAAATAAATAATTGATTGCAATTTAAATTAAGCATTTGCAGTTGCAAAGTGTGTATAACAGTCATATAAAAGCGAAGTAAATGACGATTTTTGTAATATGATGCAATTAATTAAAAGTTTAAATTTATTATAAATAAAAAAAATAAGATGTGATTAGTATTCTTTTTTTTTTAAAAAAAAAAGAAAAAAAAAAAAAAGCGAATAAATCAAATAAATTTACTCAATAGAACGATATATATAGCTTACTATTATTTCTTTATCAATTATTTAATGTCAAATATTATGGATAGAGACGCAGATTTTCCTTTTTTTTCTCGTGTCACCTTTAATCAACTGGTATCAGAGTTTTTATCAAACCGTAATCCTAAGCAACGAAGAAAAGCTATTATTACACAAGAAGACTATGATTTGATAATTAAGATTTTAAAAAATCCTACAAATACATCTAATGGAACAGCAAAAGACCATTTCTGGGCAAAAAATAGTTTTTACTTACGTGACCTTGGAACGCCCCAGAACTCTATTCTTCAACTTATGGAAATGAAGAATGCTAATTCAAATGATAAATCAGACCGGGCTATTTGTCCATTTCAAAACCTTTATACTGTTATTGGAAGAATGCATGGTAATACTCATAAGCATTCTGGTTCAAAGAAAACCTTTGATGTGGTAAATAGAGTATAATTAAATTTATGTTAGCATTTTATACTTTCTAGCTTTTAATTTAGCTTATATTTTAGATAAGCAAACAATATGCTTACATTCCTCAATCCTTTATAAAGGTATATGTTGCTCAATGTACACAATGTTGTATAAGAAGAAATTTTTCTGCTCCTGTTATCAGAGAGATCATTATTTTAAAAAAATTCTTGCAACATGTGCAAGTAGATCTTGTTTCATTTGAGAAATATCCAGATAAGAAATACCAGTATATTGCACACCTTCGTGATCATTTCACAAGGTTCTCGTGAACATGTTCACTACATACTAAAGAGGCAGCAGAAGTTGCTGCATTCCTATTGTCTGTTTTTACTGTCTTTGGGCCTCCATACATTTTGCAAAGTGATAATAGGAGGGAATTCACTGCTCAAATTATTTATGAACTTCTCAGTTTATGGAAAGAAATCTATATAATAAATGGGCATCCTTGCTATCCTCAATCGCAAGGTATAATCGAAAACTCTAACAAGACTTTGAAGAATGTTCTCTTTGTATGGATGGAAGACAATAATCAAAGAGATTGGGGTATTGGCCTTCCAATAGTTACATGTAGGTATATTGATTAATAATTTATAACTTGTTATTGATATTTTATTAATTTTTTTTTTTTAGATACTATGAATATTTGTCGCTCTAGACCTACCAATTATACACTATATGAATTAGTTTTTGGGCAACATCCCTTATGCCACTTTAATATAATTGAAGAATAGAAGCGATATAACATTAATATGAAGGAAGATTTGCCTGAAGGTATTATCAAGAATGAGGAAGATTCTGAAAATGAAGATAATAACTTATCTGATAAATATGAAGATTTCAATGAAATCACTCAAATTAATAATATGGAAAGAGATAGTGCTTCACAGTCTTTGATAGTAGCTTCTCCATCAAGTTCACGATCTTTGATACTATTTTCTGATATTTTTCAAGAAGAGGATAGTACTATAAAAGAAAATAGTACTTTACAAACAAATAAATCTTCGTTAATAACTTCTGTTCTAGGAGAACACAAATTAGAAAGTATTAGATTAACAATCTATGTATAAATTTTTTTAAAAATCTAATTTTAATTGTAATAAACAGGATTCCTGAATTGTTAACTCTCAAATATATATAGATATAGAAGATGATTATACAATGCAACAACAAACTACTTTCAATAATCAACAAATACAATCCACAACTGATAATACTAGTGAGCAAATAGTTTCTGCGCAAGATAATTTTACAAGTAATCAGAAAAGAATTACAAAAGATAAGGTTATTATAAGATTTATTTTCTTTACAGTAAATATTGTAAATTCTTGTTAATTACAATTTATATTTCTATTTTATAATAGGAAAATCAAAATTTTATTAATTCAAATAATTCAAATGATTATGTTCCTTCAAAAAAACATCGTATTCGAGTTATTCAAGAAGTTTCAAATAATCTAACTTCTCAGCATAACATTTATTGGCAAGTTGCAAATAAAAATCTTGAAGACTATTGTTCCAAAATGAAACACCAGATGCATACAAAATACAATATTCATGAATATGTTTATGAAGTTGGTGATCTAGTAAAAATTCAAGTTGCCAAAATTGACTGTGGCCCTGGTGATCATTGTGCACTCCCTTGCAAAGTGTTTGCAGTGCTTCTCAGAAATATGTATCGCCTTGTATATCGATTTGGCATTCTTGACCAAGCATTTTTAGCTTGTGTGGTTTTACTACTTGGACCAAAAGAATATCCAGAGTTGGATAATCCTCCAACCAACACAACTGTTAGTATAATTAAAGCAGCAAAATTGCAATCTAATACTCTTGCTAGTAATAAAGTATGCAATTGTAGAGGTGACTGTTTTACAGCAAGATATATTTGCAAAAAAGCAAATATTGTATGTGAAAGTGGATGTTATCTGAAGAATTCAAAGTGTAAGCACCAAGCTTAAAGCTAGAAATAGAAAATAAGTTTTATTTTTTATTTTAAGTTATGTATTTTGCAGCATTGCATAATCTTATTGTCCGGGCAGCTAATTTAGTTAACAATAGAAATTTGATTTTAAGCATATTATTAATAAATGATGTTCTTTCCATTTACATAAGCCATGTTTTTAATTCAGTAATTAATTATGTTGTTCAAAGATCATATAATACATTTTTAACAAAAGTAGCTTTACTAAAAAAAAAAAATAGAACAACTAAATATGCTTGGGTCGATGCAATATTTGTATGCCAATATATAATTGATATGTATGTACTGAATTCTCGATCTGGGTAACCCACATAAGAATTCTAAATTGGGTTACCCCGATTCTGAATTGGGATAGCCAGATTCTAGATTGGGCGGATTCCAATCTGGGGTACAACATATATATCATACATAGAAATACAGAAATAGAAATATAGAAATGCTATACTCCTGCGTCCAGTGTAAATTCTTGAACTTTGTCTAACGTAATACCCGATCTGAATACGTGTGATATATTTTTTTGAGGAAAGTGATATATAAATTTTTACCGTAAATATTTTTATCAATCACTAAGAGCGTTAACTATTCACTCTTATACAAAATGTCAAGACCGGTTGACTTCGTGATTGCAGGTCTTGGCAATCCAGAAGAAGAATATGCCACCACACGTCATAATGGTTCACAAATTCCGAACTTTTACCTACTTAAATTCCGTTACAATTACTTCTAATTACTGAATTACTGACCATATACTATTAATACTTTTGACGCGTCAAATTATCATAAACAGCCGGATATATATTTATAGATTACTTAGCAAATGCAATAGCGCTTGAACAAGGAGAAGGAACACCTGTTTTTTATAGACGGTTTAATTTATCAGGTGAAGTTTCAATCCGTTACTTGAATCACTATTTCATTTTATTGAGGTCAAAGAGTGAATAAATTAACTTTAATAGCCGATGTACGAGATATACCATATACTTTTAAATATGAAAGTGGGTCGTCTACTGTAACTGTAAGTTCTTACTATATATACACACGATAGTTATAGTCAAATAGGTAATTATCGAAATAATAAATAGAATTCCTTAAGGGTCGTTTTAATGAAACCCTTGACTGCCATGAATGAATCAGGATCGTCAATACAAAAAGTGATGCAAAATTATGCAGTTACCGATTCTAAAAAGTTGATAGTAGTAGCCGATGACTTAAACACACTACCAGGTATATTGATGGTTCAAGGTAATATAAGTTATCTATAATATTAAATGATGACATATTTTCTTATCATAAAAACTGGATGAAGATATTATTATTCGAATTCTATTAAGGTGGCGGGAAATTAGCTGCAATGAAAGGCCATAAAGGATTAGAAAATATTGTATCAGTAATTGGTACCGATTTTGTGAGGTATCATCCGATATTCTCATAATGCGAATATATTCACATGGCAAATTTTTTGATTTCATTATTTTTTAAGGTTCAGATTGGGTATTGGACGGCCTGCAGAAAATTCTACGCCAATTTCTCAATGGGTTTTAAGCCCATTTACCAAAGAAAATCGAGAAATGGTACTATAATAATTTACCAAATTTATTGAGATTTTGATTTATAATCCCTATTTAAACATAATTTATACGTACGTACGCACACAGGATCTTTTTGGTTACCTTTTACAATTGACAACGCAAGCATTAAAAGATTATAGTATTCATCGAGATTTGAAACAAGTAAAGAAGAAATTTGCACGGCCTAGAAAGATACCGAATAAATTGACAGAAATGAATAGGTAGGCAAAAAGAAAGACGTTTTTTTGAGATTGAAACCGAATTATATGGATGTCGCCAAGGGAAACTATACTTTAACCCTTAATTTACCGGACTCTATTCCTAAAAATTAGATAGGCCGAGTCGGTAAATTATAAATTCAAAAGTGTGTGGTTTTTTCCTCGACATCGTTTATCTCTATATTTAAAAACTCATAATTCTTTACATGATTTAGTTTGATTTTTCCTGTTGATATCCGTGAAGCATAAATTCGATTAACTTTATTAAGTATTGTACTATAACTGCGGATAATATAAATTATTTTTGCATTAGTTTTTTTTTTCAAACAATTCATTGAATTGTTCGTCGATCATTAAATGATTAGTAGTACAATAATCTAGTAAATATTAGTCATTTCATGATGGGCAGTTATAAACGTTTGGCGATAATAAAAATTAGTTTTTTGAGTATTTAACGTACGTACGTACGCACTAAACACTTCTACTCACGTAACTCCGATAGTTTTGATGATCCTTACCGTTACATGCAAAAGCGGTAATACAAATGAGTAACATCTTCTGCGCCTAAGATCAAACAATCAAGGTTTCGAAGGAACCCCATTTTTTTTGTGTTCCACTTAGTTTGAGAATGACTATTTTATTTAGAAGCGCGGCAATAAATGGGAAAATTTGCGGATCGTACTGCAATTATAACCGTCTTTCATGCCTCCCACATGGATCAAAAATAATTTTTTTCCATCCTAAGAAAAAAAAAAGGGCATTTATGTGTATCAAAAAAGGACCCAAAATTAAGTGGCAGTTAGTTAGATATTTATTGGTAGATTCAGTGCATAATCAGTGTCATACAAACGATTTGGCATAAACTCAGTGATCCGGCCACTGATTTTCTAAATCAAAGTAAAATAATCCCCTAATTCAGCATAGTATTTATTAGGCTCAGCTTGGCTGTGTAGATTTCCTCCCTCTTCACCTTTTATCTCTCCTTTACGTAATTGTTTTATGCTAATAGCCTCCTAAATGTGAGTATTTCTATTTGCGTTCTTGCTATCCATCCTGTAAATCATCCATCCATCTACGTTGGTATCAAATCTACAAAGTTATTGCTATTTTTTTGGCTGGGAATTACGAAAGAAAGAAGAAGAAAAAAAAAAAAAAAAAAAAAAAAAAAAAAATCTATTTTAAGAGCGGTTTCGCCGCAGTAACTTTTCTGTGTATTCAAAGAGTATTGACACATAAAGTTGCGAGAACTTGTAACATACAAATACGACCGAACGAATTATTAGTATAGAGTTTGTATGAATTAAGTTCTGTTTGAAGTAAATCATATATATACCTTTTTTTTGCTCATCTTAGCGACCATGGGTAAAGAAAAGACTCACGTTAACGTTGTCGTTATTGGCCACGTCGATTCTGGCAAGTCCACTACCACAGGACATCTTATTTATAAGTGTGGAGTATGTATTTGTGTTTTACTTTTGATTTCCTTTTATATTTTCATATCTCAATATTTAACTAACTCACGTTTTTGTTTTAACAGGGTATTGACAAACGTACGATAGAAAAATTTGAGTAAGAGTCGATCATAATTCATATGTGAAAGATCATTTTTTTAGTGTTTTCTTGTTCTTTTTTAATGTGCTATTTTTTTTTTTTCTGACCAATAGAAAAGAAGCTCAAGAACTTGGTAAAGGTTCTTTCAAATATGCTTGGGTATTGGACAAACTGAAAGCTGAACGTGAACGTGGTATTACGATCGATATCGCTCTTTGGAAGTTTGAAACTCCAAAATACTATGTCACTGTTATTGATGCTCCAGGGCATCGTGATTTCATTAAGAACATGATTACTGGTACTTCTCAGGTATTCTTTCTAATCTTTTATGTTATTATAATCATATTGTTTTATTTTTATACTTACTGTTTGTTATTTTATTTTTTTTTAAATAATAAATAGGCAGATTGTGCTATTTTGATTATTGCTGCTGGTACTGGTGAATTTGAAGCCGGTATCTCTAAGGACGGTCAAACTCGTGAACACGCCCTTTTGGCTTATACACTTGGTGTCAAACAACTTATTGTCGCTGTTAACAAGATGGACACAACTCAATGGTCCGAAGAACGTTTCAATGAAATTGTCAAAGAAGTCTCTGGCTTCATTAAAAAAGTTGGTTACAATCCCAAGAGTGTCGCCTTCGTTCCGATATCCGGCTGGCATGGTGATAACATGTTGGAAGAATCTACAAACATGCCATGGTTTAAGGGTTGGACAAAGGAAATCAAAGGCGGTTCTGCTAAAGGAAAGACACTTTTGGAAGCTATTGACTCAATTGAACCTCCAACAAGACCAACCGATAAACCTCTTCGTCTTCCCCTTCAAGATGTTTACAAAATTGGTGGTATTGGTACTGTCCCTGTAGGTCGTGTTGAAACCGGTATTATCAAGGCCGGTATGGTTGTAACATTCGCCCCAGTTGGTCTTACTACTGAAGTCAAGTCCGTTGAAATGCATCACGAACAATTGGAACAAGGCGTTCCTGGTGACAATGTTGGTTTTAACGTCAAGAACGTATCAGTTAAAGAAATTCGTCGAGGTTTTGTCTGCTCCGATTCTAAAAATGATCCTGCCAAAGAATCCGCTTCTTTCAACGCTCAAGTTATCGTTCTTAATCATCCTGGTCAAATTGGTGCTGGTTACGCTCCAGTATTGGATTGTCACACCGCTCATATTGCTTGCAAATTCTCTGAATTGCAAGAAAAAATTGATCGTCGTTCCGGCAAAAAACTTGAAGATAACCCTAAATTTGTTAAATCTGGTGATGCTGCTATTGTCAAAATGATTCCTTCCAAACCCATGTGTGTCGAGGCTTTCTCCGAATATCCTCCTCTAGGTCGTTTTGCTGTGAGAGATATGCGTCAGACAGTTGCTGTTGGTGTTATTAAGGTTTGTATATTTTATTAGATTTATTATTTCTTTTTAAATTATTTAATTGTTAATTATCTTTTATTTTATTTTATTTTTTTTTAATACAGTCTGTTGAAAAGGTTGATAAATCGGGTAAAACCACCAAAGCAGCTGTTAAAGCTTCCAAGAAATAAAGAAAGGTCACGAGAAAATACCCCCTTTCTTTTGTCCCACATCCGACGGTTATTGCATTGCATTTATATGAACTATACGTTGTAAAATTTAAAAACAAAAAATTACACGAGTTTATTTTTTTAAAAAAATCTAATAAAATCTGGTTTTCTGTGCATAATAATACAAAATCAAAATATGACTCGTATAGAAGGGAAGAAATAGGTTGCATAAAATAATTTGCAAAAGCTTTTATCAATTATTTCTTGGTGGAAGGTTGTTATATTGTAATTAAAAATAAAAATTATTAAATAAAATTGTTCTAGACATCGTGTCTAGATTTATTATTTGATAAACGTGAAATAATTTATTATTCGATAAACGTGATAATATCTGGTATATGATTCGAAATTAATCTTTTCATAACATCGACGAGTCTCGTAACCGGTTACTATGCCACGCACATGTTTTGAACAAATTCTTGGTCACGATACACGTAAAAAATTAACATCAATAACACAAAACTTTACTATATACTTAGTAAAAATGTTTAATTTTACTTATAGCTATATATATATATATATATATATAGTTTTATATATTATACTTTAGACGTCCGATCATCCGATTATGCCAGTTTATTCATAGCTTCATACACAGTGTTTGATAAGCAAATGTGATTGGTAACAAACACGTGAATTTATTATCATTAAAAAATCGTAGCGAAGTTTAATAAAATCATCGATCAGAAACTTGATAAACAGATTTTTTGGATATGCACGATCAATATCAGTTACACAATTTGTTATGCATTTCAGGGTAGTGCTTATCTAATTCCAGATCTAGATCAAACGTACGTACGTACGTGCGTAGGTAGATTCGGAATTCTATAGTGATACGTAGAATCGAATCTTAAAATAATGTTAAGTGGTGACGGAATTTATGTCGATATAAATAGAGAATAGATCTTTTAATTTATCAATGATAATCTTAAAACAATATTAATTCAAGAAAGCTTTTAATAATTTAAGAATAATGCTAACTTTAACTGGAATTTTTTTTTAAAAAAATTAACCAATTAAATCACGAGCATGATTCGCAAAAATTTTGTATAAAAAAAATAATAATTTATTACCGATACAGTCTAACTCATTATAGTTACTCATATATAGTAATCTTTTTTTTTCTTTTTTTTTTTTACCAAATTTATATATATATATAGTTATAAACGGGTCTCTATCATTTTTCCGACATCGACAAATATATATCCAGACTAAAATTGACCTAAACTAATGCTGATTAACATCAGGATTTTGAAATTATAACTATATGGGCTGTATTAAATAAAAATCAAACAGATTGATACCGTATATTAAAAAAAAAAATAATTTATTAATAGTAAAAAAAAAGATTACTATATATGAGTAACTATAATGA